TTAGCGAGCCGAGTGATGTCATCTGTATCAATCCAACGTCACGCTCTTTCATCTTTTATCTATTTTATCATTCTTTTTCCTAATCAGTCCCTGAAATCACAACTTCATGTCCGTAATAAGCAGACTATAAGAATCTAAACTTTCTTTTTGACTGTCTTAATAAGTTGTGTTTGCATGTCATCAATGTTTTATAGCGAGAGTCTGTAAATAAACATGGAGGTCTGACTTCAGTCAACCTAACGACCGGCTGAGAGCTGAGGCGGGTCTTAAGCCTTCTGACAAACTGCTACAACGCGGCTGCTTGCAGTCAGATTGGTCACGCCAATTATTTTGCATAAATCACATACTTCATCAAATCTAAACTTTTCACCTTTCAAGGCTGTAAACAAATTTATTTATGCTGTCAAAATGGACATTTTAATATAGGTGTGTATGTGACTTCCTGTGCTTCTGCAGCCAGCCTCTAGTGGACACTTGAGGAACTGCAGTTTGCAGGTCCGCATCAGCTTTATTTTTTTGGTTGTAGCAGACGTTTCTTTTAAATACTCTTATTTTGAAGTCTTGCCGTCTCCATTTTCATTTTTTTGGAGCCAGAATGTAAAAAAATCTGGACGATAGCAAACAAGAATTTATGAAAAAAAAAATGAGACACCAGATTGGTAAACTTGTAGTTTAACATGCTTACTTTAAAAAAGAGCCGTGTGCTACAGTGAGGAGTGTAGACAGACAGATGCACAGACAGACACACAGACAGACACACAGACACACACACAGACAGACAGACAGACACACAGACACACAGACAGACAGACACACAGACAGACACACAGACAGACAGACAGACACACAGACAGACACACAGACACACAGACAGACAGACACACAGACAGACACACAGACAGACACACAGACAGACAGACAGACACACAGACACACAGACAGACAGACACACAGACAGACACACAGACAGACAGACAGACACACAGACAGACACACAGACACACAGACAGACAGGCGGACAGACACACAGACAGACACACAGACACACAGACAGACAGACACACAGACAGACACACAGACAGACACACAGACAGACACACAGACACACAGACAGACAGACACACAGACAGACACACAGACAGACAGCGGACAGACACACAGACAGACACACAGACACACAGACACACAGACAGACACACAGACACACAGACACACAGACAGACACACAGACAGACACACAGACAGACACACAGACAGACACACAGACAGACACACAGACAGACAGACAGGCGGACAGCGTACTATCATCAGTCAGAGTGAGGTGAAGAGGAGGAAGAGGAGGAGGAGGAGGAGAAGGAGGAGGAAGAGGAGGAGGAGGGTACCTTTCTTAAGGAGCGCGCAGGGAGAGCTGGAGGGAGGTCGCTGACCTGGTGGTGGAAAGCATCAAAGTGCATCGACAGGTGTTGCCCTACAGGGGGAGACACAGCAGGACTGACTGAGAGAGATGCACACACACACACACACACACACACCTCTAACTGTATAACAAGATGGACAACATCACAGCTCCCCACAAGTGAAGCCAAAACATTTGGAGTTGTCCCCTGCTGACTGGCTGCAACATTTGTCATAAGCTCCGCCTCCTCCATGTTAACAGATGGGACATTGATCAAACTATAAAATCAAAATACACGTTAAATACATTTTTCTCAAACGTGGTTTCTGTCCTTAAGAAGAGGAACAACGTTAAGATCGATAGTTCTCATGATAAATGAGGCTCCTGCAGCGCTGTGTGTGATTTTTAGAGTAGAGGAAACGTAACGAACACAAACACTGGAGTCATTGAACTCTCCTTAAGTGTGAGTCCACATGAATCTGTTCTGCTGAGCGATGTTTGATGTTTTAACTGTAAGATAAACAGGTGAAGAAGGTATGAGACATCTCGCTGTAGCTCCTTACAACCGCACAGACTCTGAATCCAAATGTTAATAAGTTAGCAGCCATAACAGGGCGTATTTGGCTTCACTGAAGAGGAGGTGGAGATGTGTTGTGCATCTTTATATACAGTCAAGGATGCACTCACACACACACCTCATAGAAGAAGAGGAGGAGAGAGAGGGAAGTAGAGGGGAGGTGGAGGAGAGAGGGGAGGTGGAGGAGTGTGTGTGCAGGCCTGGACGTGATCTTTTCAAAAGCTGCTAAATTCATTCACATTTAAGTTTTAAGTCGGATTTGAAATCGAACAAAGCGGAACAGGAACATTACTCAACATCATACCTACAAAACACAGCAATATACACACACACACACACACACACACACACACACACACACACACACACACACACAAATCGAGTTGTGTGTTCACAAGAAGAGAAATATGAACGCCTCCCTCTTGGTAATCACATCATAGTGAGTTATATTCCCGCATTAGGCTATTTACACATAAACACAAGGCACACAAAAACTACACACATGCAGTCATGTTCAAACTACACACAAACACACACACACACACACACACACACACACACACACATAGTAAACGGTGTTGTCATACCGTGAGGCAGGTTGCGTGGGGGGACAGGAGGCGCCATGACACTGCCAACATGGGCGGAGAGGAAGGGGAGGGCTTCTCTGGTACCGCTGTCCAAACTCCAACTACTGGGAGTGGTGAGGACTGAAGGAGAGAAGGAGAGGAGAGAAGAGAGGAGGGGACGAGGAGAGGGGCGGAGAGAGGAGAGGAGAGGAGGAGAGGAGAGGAGAGGAGAGGGACGAGGAGAGGGAGAGGAGAGGAGAGGAGGAGGAGAGGAGAGGAGAGGGGCGGAGAGAGGAGAGAGGAGAGGAGAGGAGGGAAGGAGAGAGAGGAGAGGAGAGGAGAGGGAGAGGAGAGGAGAGGAGAGGAGAGGAGAGGAGAGGAGAGGAGAGGAGAGGAGAGGAGGGAAGGAGAGGAGAGGAGAGGAGAGGAGAGAGGCGGGGAAGGGAGAGGAGAGAGGAGAAAGCAGAAGCAAGCAGTAGAGAAGATAAATGGAGAGTATTTTTAACTATATCATTGTCTGTCTGGTCAGTGTTGGAGAGCTGTCTCACCTTTCTCAGCCACAGACAGGTTGGGGTCACTGCAGGGTTTACACGGACCGATCACCTGATGGAACAGCGCTCGCTGCAGGTTTGTTGGCTGAGGAGAAAAACAGATCCAAACGTGGAGACTCATTATGATGCATCTGTTTCTGCATGCTGCTCAAACAGCATCATGTGGATTCTATGAATCACATTTGAATTCTGGAGACATGTTCAGTCATCTCTTCTTACCTGTCCGTTCTCGGTGAGGTTGGAGTACATGGCACTGCTCGGTCTGTCTCTGTGAGGCGGCAGCAGCATCAGCATCTCTCGGTTGTGTCTGTATTTATCCGGCAGAGACGGAGAGCCGACTGCAGACACACACAGTGTGGATGTCATCTCAGTCACCTCATGATTGAATCATTTACCAGCTGAAACGTACTCAGTCTGGGCTGCTTACCTCGGATGGTGGAGGGGGCGGAGTTTATCATCTGAGAGGGAGCAGAGTGGGTGGAGCTAAGGCTGGAGGAGGAGGGGCTCGCCTGCAGGAGGAAAGTTGTTACGCTGAGTAAATAAAAACTGAAATATTTTATATCACAGCAACATGAGGGTGTTAGAGTTTGATAAAGTATCAAAGTGATATCAACACCCGGAGTTATCTCACCTAACCCTCGACATGTTTTGTATTTTAAAGAGTGTAATTATAAAACTCCACAATCTCTAAATGTGAAATAAAACCTCCGTACATGGGGTGTGCGAAATAACCGCTAGACCAAAAAAAAGGTCATTTTGTAGTTCTTTAATTGACCCTGATAGAGACCGACTGACCTGCATGCGGTAGAAGTCCTCGGGGTTCTCCACCACCATCCCGTCAGCCAGGATCAGAAGACTTCCTACGTTTCCTGTCTCACTGGAGTTATGAGAGGAGAGAGAGGAGGAGGAGTTGCGTACCGGAGTCAAAACAGCAATGGGACTGGAAGGAGGGAATCGAGGAATGGTGGTGGTAGAATAAGAGAAAGGGAGAGAGGTAGAGGTGGGGTAGAGAGCGAAGAGAAGGGAGGGAGGGAAGAGGAGAGAGAGGGTGAAAGCAAAGGGAGGAGGAGGAGGAGGAGGAGGGCGTGCAAAGTACAACCAAAGAAAGAAAACGGCAAGCAACAACCAAAACATGCATGACAGAAATGATTGAGAGTGATGCAGGATCCACGATCGTGCAAAAGACAGAGAGAGAGGAAGAGAGAGAGGAAGAAAAATGGTGGAACTTCAGAAAGTGAGATGATTATAGTTGGCTGCTGAAGATACTCAGGTGAAGTGAGGAAGTCAGAGATCATTAATGAGAGGTGAGATCAGTGCTCTGCGAGGTGAGGACAGGTGAAGAGCCTCCCCAATGAAACACAGGATGTTGACTTTAAAAGGTCTATGTCATAAAAATGAAATAAGCAGTCAGCAGTCGTGACTCAGGTTGGATCTCTTAACCTGTGGGCGTGTTGTCGGTTTGTTTTGAAACTGCAGCGTGTTAAAAAAGTCTAAAAAGTCTAAAAAACTTGGATACGACTTTATGCTGCGAGGGAGAGTGAGGGCCACGTTAAAGAAAAAAAAAACAGAGATCTAGAAACACATCTTTTTAAAATGACATATTCAGTCTGATAATCCGTTCTCAAAAATCCCCTTCAAATTCAAATGTGTCTTTTTCATATTCATTTCATCAATGTCTTGTTACTTTGTTGTTTTTATTTCTGCTTTGTAAGGTGACCATGAGTGCTGAAAAAGGAGCCTTAAAAATAAAATGTATTATTATTATTATGTCAGACGCAAAGGAGAAGAAGCAACATGTTGGCATGTCTTTAACTTCGCTGACCTGAAGATCACGAGTGAGGTTTAACAAAGATGAGTCATAAATTGTCTGTAACTTGATTGTAGTCAGGAAAAAAGTCTCAGCCGGGACAATTCTGCTACAAACAAAAAGTGTTGATTTTATTGAGAGTGAGCTGCAGAATAAGGAAGAGGACGGTTTTGTAAGAAGGGTTTCAGATAGGAAGAGGTGTGTGCTGCGGTTGCTGCAGAGTTTCTCAAGTTTGTCTTTTTATCAAAGAAGAAGTGAATCAAAGTTTCTTGAGGTTTCAAGTGGAATGCAAACAGGATATGATATGACTGACTGTGTGGCTCTGTGGGTCTAAAAACAGAACATTTCATACTGAGAAGGAGAGGAGTGTGTTGCAGACCTGTGGCGGTGCAGCAGTTTGAAGCTCTCGGGGCTCATGGGGCTGTGGGAGGCCAGGATCCCTCTGGGTGTGTTTGCTCCTGACCCGGCTTTGTCCAGACCAGGCAGACCCTGTAAGGCCACATAGAAGCACTGCTCTGAATATTCACACTGCCCTACCATGACTGCACGAGTCATGTGTGTTTGAAGCTAGTTTTCAGAATGAACAGACACGTGTGTGATCATGAGTATAGTTAAAAAAAAAAGACTTAAAGCTGCTTTATGATTGGTCAGTTTTTGTCTGCCCAAAGAGGTGAAATGATCAAAGTTGAAGAAGTTCAGATTCCTCAGTGACACACTTTGTTCCTCTTTGAAGCTGTTCACTATCTGGAGATCCTCCAGGAGCGTGAACAACAGAAGGAATCCTCTCTAAGACTCAATGTTACTTTATCTTTAAATAATCAGGAAGAGCTTTTATTTCTGAACCTGTGCGTGTGTTTCTCACTATGTTTCCTTTTTAAAAGCTTTGACCAACATAAAGAGAAATAGGTTTTCCTGCACTCACATGGCACAGGCTGCTCCTCATCATCTGGAACTGATCGATCAGCTTCTTGTGCAGGGGACGCATTTCAGGGTGCACCAGCTTCTCGTGCACGGCCAGGCCGACTCCCAGGACGTGAACCTGACGGAGACAACACATCATTCAACAGTTGGCCAGTTTACGATGTGAAACCTTTGATCAATAGATATAAAAACTGAGTCTTTGAAAAACTATCTGTGCCTCTGAGAGCAGCTTAAACAAGAAGTTTAGTAAAGACAGTGAAGGTCAATTTTAAACGTCTTGTGTTTGAAAGATGCTGCATACATCCGACGTGATCATTCAGAGGAGATCAATAAGACACTCTGACTCCTAGTGTTTAAAATGTGTACTGCAGTCTAAATTCTAAACATCATAGAGATCTGTCTCCCCCCTCCTCTCTAGAGTGGATGCTCACTCAGGTCACCATGTGGTGGACTCTGAAGCTTCAGTGTTTATCCAGCTCTGCATGGGTCTGTAAACCTTTCTGTGTTCTAACCTCTCTCCATTTTTTCAAAAGCATCTCCAATATTGATCCTAGTTTGAGCACGTTTCTGCTCGTGGAGCTTATTAGAGACATGCAGAGGCTTTTTAGGTCGGGTACAATCACTTCTATCTGAACCACTTCTCTTGACCGCTTCCATCACTGCAACACCTGTTGACCTGATAACTGCTCTCATATCTGACAAACCGAGGGGCGTCCAAAACGGCCGTGGGGGGGGGGGGTCTTAAAAGCGCCTACCTTCTCTGGTCCAAACAAATCCAGAGCATTCAGGAGCAGAATCTAAAGTTAGAAGGAGGACATACTGGCTGCTGCATTGTTGTCAGAGAAGCCAGCACTTCAACATAACATGTTTCCTTAATGATCAGAGAGTAAGATACCTTTATCATCTCACTCTCTACACATCTCACTGATTGGACCTTTAACTTTGCAGTGTCAGTTACCTTTTATCTATCCTCTACACTGTGTGGTTCATGAGGACTTCCTGTTTGTGAACAAAAGCCTGTGAAGAGCAGATCGTCTCACCTGCTCCTGCATCAGGTCTTTGAGCTGTGTGATCTTCTCTGTGTCTTCAGGATGGGTGGTGATGTACTCCTTATCAAAGAAAGCCTAGAGAAAGAAAGACTCATTATCATCAGATGATCCAGTAAATAAACATGCGTCCAAACGTCCTGTGAGTCCTCTCTGTCTTATCGAGAGAAATGTCTGAGCTGCCAGAGGAGGAATAAAAGTACAGCCTCTGCTCACCCATTCACCCCGACTGATGAGTGCATCAGGTACCGTCATGCTAAACCACAGCAGGTACACATGTGGTGGACTAAACTAACTTCTTGTCCTACCTCTTGGTATCTGGCGATGCCTCCGTTGACGGCGGCGTCGATGACTCCGTTGAGCGTCATGCTGAGCAGGTTGATGTTTCCGTGCAGCTGCTTGTGTTGGTACTGACTGATCAGAGTGCGCAGCTCCTGGTTCTTATTCTCCACCACAGAGATGGCGTTCTCTAACGGACTCACCTCCAGCTAGGTGAAAAAAAACGACGGGGTCAAAGTGAGAGAGTGAATCATCTGAGCACGGTCACATAAAAACAACATAATAAATATTTATTCTTCACTGATATACATATCGATCCATCTTCTCGTCTTTAACCTGTAAAATCCACCTGAGGCCTCTTTGATACGCCGACACGGGAGGGAAGTGTTCTTCCGGTTGAATTTGCACAGGAGCAACACGAGGGAGACTGTGTGGTAATCAGGGCGCTGCTTTTTCTTTTTAAAGGTATTTTTGTGTCTTTATTAGATCGGACAGCTGAACAGAGACAGGAAATGTTGGGAGGAGAGAGTTTAGAGACGACATGCAGCAAAGGGCCGAGGTCAGATTCAAACCAACCCCCGCTGGCACGAGGACTATAGACTCTGTATGGGGCTAACGACACAACTGCTCGGCTATCTGGCGCCCCCTGGGTGTTGTATTTTTTTAAGGCCGGTGCTGAGCAGTGTTGGGACTAACATGTTTCTGTAACGTCATGAATATTTACGGTAACAAGTAACAAATTAGTTAATTTCCAGATTCATCAACGCCGTTTCAATTACGTTACTTAAGGCTACGTGAAACAGCCGCCAACAGCGGCAGATTAAGGTTTGTTAACATGTACTCTGTGGGCGAGGATACGCTAACGTCAGCACGGTAACTTCCTGTGAGAAAGAAGGTTAGTGAACAAACACAGGTGATCATTCAGCCGCGAGCTTTCTTTTATTTTTTTTTCAAGATTTATTTTTGTGCCTTTAATTGAATGATAGGACAGAGGATAGAGTTGTAAATCAGGGCAAGAGAGAGAGAGAGAGAGAGAGAGGGGATTGACATGTGGGAAAAGGAGCCACAGGTCGGATTTGAACCTGGGCCGACCGCATTGAGGACCACAGCCTCCATATATGGGACGCGCGCACTAATCACTGCGCCACCAGCGCCCCTGCTGTGAGCTTTCTAGTCTCTTACAAACTAAACACTTTTTTTTTTTTTTAAGATTTATTTTTGGGCTTTTAATGCAGAGAGAGGACAGTGGATAGAGTTGGAAACCAGGGAGAGAGAGGACAGTGGATAGAGTTGGAAACCAGAGAGAGAGAGGACAGTGGATAGAGTTGGAAACCAGAGAGAGAGAGAGGACAGTGGATAGAGTCTGAAACCAGAGAGAGAGAGGACAGTGGATAGAGTCAGAAACCAGAGAGAGAGAGGACAGTGGATAGAGTCTGAAACCAGAGAGAGAGAGGACAGTGGATAGAGTTGGAAACCAGAGAGAGAGAGAGGACAGTGGATAGAGTTGGAAACCAGAGAGAGAGAGAGGACAGTGGATAGAGTCACTCACCAGTTCCCTCTTCTCCACCTCAAACCAGCGTGAGATACCAGGCAGAGGGTGAGTGAGGATCAGAGTCGTCCTCTCGATCCAGAGACTCTGAAACACACAAAACAACAACAAACAGTCACGGGGTGATGTGAGGTGAAAACAAGGTGACACCGGGTCACTGCAGGTCACACCGGGTCACTGCAGGTCACACCGGGTCACTGCAGGTCACACCGGGTCACTGCAGGTCACACCGGGTCACTGCAGGTCACACCGGGTCATCACTGCAGGTCACACCGGGTCACTGCAGGTCACACCGGGTCATCACTGCAGGTCACACCGGGTCACTGCAGGTCACACCGGGTCACTGCAGGTCACACCGGGTCACTGCAGGTCACACCGGGTCATCACTGCAGGTCACACCGGGTCACTGCAGGTCACACCGGGTCATCACTGCAGGTCACACCGGGTCACTGCAGGTCACACCGGGTCACTGCAGGTCACACCGGGTCACTGCAGGTCACACCGGGTCATCACTGCAGGTCACACCGGGTCACTGCAGGTCACATGAGGTGACATGAGGGGACACGAGGGGACATGAGGGGACATGAGGGGACATGAGGTGACACGAGGGACATGAGGTGACACGAGGGGACACGAGGGACACGAGGGGACATGAGGTGACACGAGGTGACACGAGGTGACACGAGGGGACACGAGGGGACATGAGGTGACATGAGGTGACAAATTGAAACCAGGTAACACTGGGTGACAAGGTGTGATTCAAGGTGACACCAGGTGACTCTAGGGGAGTCCAGGTGAAATGAGGTGAAACAAGGTGACACCAGGTAAAAAGGGGGTGAAAGAAGGTGACAACTTGAAACCAGGGGACATGAGGGGACAGTCACCTTGAACTCATTGTCTCTGTCTTTGGGTCCTTTGTGGAAGGGTCGGTCGTAACGGAAACGACGGACGTTGTTGACCCTGTAGAAGCTCTTGATGCGATCGGGGACCCGGTCCATCTGGAGGACGGTGACGCTCTCCGGTACAGGTGTGACGGCGTAGATCTGCAGGTCTGATCCGAGGAGGAGGAGGAGGGTCAAAGATAAAACTGAACATGTTGACAGATATGCAGACGACAGCAGAGTATTCTAATTTAAACACATCGTGTGGACTCGTGAAGGATACACTGTGCGTCACACTGAAGGATGGCTTCATCCGGCTGATTGGGGTGCTGCATGGCTATGGCCTGAGGGAATTCTCCCAGCATCCTTTGCTGGAAGGCCTCTAGCCTCTCGTAGTCATGGCCGCGACAGACAAACTCTTTGTTCTGGTGAGAGAAATCAAATCAAAGCAAACGGATCAGATGAAACGTAAAGCCTACAGATAGTTAACGTGCCTTTGATTGAAGCATTGTTCCAGTTTTAGAGGCTTTATCTTCTTAAAACGAACAAATCACTTATGAGGAAGCGCAGAAGAGACACTAACTTCTAAAAAAATCTTATAGATGGAAGTCAGACTCACTCTGAGGAAGAAGGGGAACTTTCTGCCGTAGAAACCGACCCGGAAGAACTCGGGCTCCAGGCGCTGCTGCTCCATGATGTTATCATAATACGCAGCCTCCATTTTCTGCAAATGCACACACACACACACACACACACACACACACACACACACACACACACAGCTGTCAGACAGGAAACAGAGAAGTGTGTCTGTGTTGTTGTTTTTGTGGTTTCTGAGTCAGTGTGAGTTCAGTGTGTGATGATTCAGCTCACCCTGATCCAGCTCAGACTCTGGTAGTCGTACAGAGACTCATACTGGAAGGCCAACTCCCTGCAGAGAGGGATACCAAACTCCCAACACTGGAGGACACACACACACACACACGTGTGTGAGACGGAAGGGGGGGAGAGAGAGAGAGACCTTTTTAGACTTCTTTGAGTGAAAATGACGCCACTAGGCCGATCAAAACAATGGCTACTCTCCCTGATGTTTATTTGTTCGTTCCGTTAACCTTGTGGCGTGATCAGGCGAAGTATTTGACTACTCAGGACAATACTCAGGACCTTGACCCCTTTTCTGGGTCATTCCAAAGCAGAAGGAGAAAATGGAAGTCATCGCCTTCTGCTTTGGAATGACCCAGAAAAGGGTCAAAGGTCAAGTCAGAGGTCAGGATTAATACATAGAACAAATAACCTCAAGGTCATATATTCAGTCAAATCCACTTCACCATGTTCCTCTCACTCTAACATGTGTCTCTAGTCTGTCTACAAACCCCCCAATGATGCCTGCTCCACTTTTCAGAAAATGTGTGCTCAAACAGGCCGTTTGGAGATTTCCCCTTCATGACATCACAAAGGGCAGTAGCCCCTCCCCCAGGTGGGTGACACTCCCACAGCTAGGTGTTTGTTCTGCCCTCTGAGTCTGCCTTCTCACCGTAAACAATAGGACATGGAAACAGCCTGTTCTGAGCAGGGCTGAAATAGAGGGGTTTATAGACATGATCAAATACAGGATCAGAGTGGATTTAGAACAAGAAACTTCACACACATGTTGAAGAGGAGCTCTGAGAATTATTAATTATTGTTTAAAATGAGTTAGGAATGTGACCTTTAATATAAAGCTAAGAAATGGCCACATAACCAATGATCTGCCTGCAACTTATTGGGCTGGACAACAAGAACACTTTAAAGTCATTTTTTTAGTTGTGCACTCCAGGAAGTTTCTGCCTTCTTCCTTTGCAGGGCAGCATTTGAAACGTGGGGATTTGTGTGTACATCCTCTGCTCACCTTCCCCTTGTTGAAGTAGTGGATGACTTTACGGCAGAGCCCCTCCTTACGGTGCCACTCGGTCTGAGCGGGATAATGCAGGAAGTCTTTGAGGGGCCGCTCGTCCCAGTGCAGCAGCTCCCAGTACAGCAGCAGAGTGAACGCAGCCTCTGTGAGGGGAGGCCAAAGACAGAGATTAAAACAAGTCATCAAACACACTTCACTCCATGTATATCTCTCTGTTTGTGCTGTACCTGTGAAGTTCTCAGCCTGCAGGTGCATGTCACACAGTTTGTGGATGTAACGGATGTACATCTCCTCCTTGTTGATCTCTGACTTGTAGAAATTCTGAGTAGATAAAAAACAAACAAACACATGCACACACACAATGTTCACATGGTGAGCGCCGGATTGTTTGAGTAAACTGAAAATCAGTACAGGTTGAGAAGAGAGAAAAGAATCTCCTGAAAAAAGTTTCTGCAAATGTAGGCATCAGGATGAGTAAAAAATGAAGGATTGAATGCAGCTAGCATGAACAACAAAGTCCAAAGGAATTGAATTAACCGCTCTTAATCAAGGCTGATATCCCGATCAGCAATTGAATTTACCTGTGTGCTAAAATATTCCCATAAGGCCCATCTAGAGACCGTTACAAATTAGTGCAGGCTGTAAATTTCCCCTAAAAAAAATCCCCCAATGGGGATCAATAAAGTTTATCTTTATCTGTAAATTCTGTTTTGTGTGTCAACGGTTTATCTGCTCCATACTTGTCCCGATACAAATAACATGAAATAAAGAATAAGTCTCCAGTTTTTTGCACATGCACACAAAAATGCATCGCTGTGTTTCCAGACTGAAAGTCGGAAATGTCACAGAAAACATGTAAATGTGATCTCAGCTGGATATCAGTTCTGACACTACTAATCTGCTCGTCTGTGCAGAAATAACTCTTAAATGATGCTCTGATCTGAAATGAATCTTACCAGGAGGTTAACAGTGCAGCCGATCTTCTTGTTCTCGGTCTCGTCTCCCTTCATGCAGTCCCTTCAAACAAGAGAAACCATTACAACTTAAAAAGATGTTCAAGCCTCCTCTGATCCTCTGCTATCAGTGACTCTGTTATCTGTCCACAGTGAGGCCTACAGGAGTAAAGGTGAAACAGATCTTAACGTGATCTGTTCAGATCTACACCACGGTACGGGTCACATGTGATCATCAGTCATTAGAAAACCTGGTGCAAGATAAGTTTACTGCTGCTGATGCCTTCAGAGTCTCAGTGAGGAGGAGGCAGAGTTTCCATGGAGGTCTGCTGCACAAATCTATCTTTTAAAACACATTTCTTTGCAGGTTTTTTGTGGACTGAAACAAATGATTCTTTGACTACGTAGTGAAGTGTTGATATTTCAGTGTTTTTGGTTATTCTTTGTGTGTGTGTGTGTGTGTGTGTGTGTGTGTGTGTGTGTGTGTGTGTTACCTGTAGTCCAGCAGTCGCTCCATCAGCCGTGTGACCGAGGTGACAAAGGAGATCCCCGTCTCTCTCCACGTCTCCTGCTCGATCTTCTCCAACAGACTTCCAGGAGAAAAACAAACACAGGTGAGACCATGTGGCGAGTTTATGACATCAGAAGGTAACGCCCTGACCTCTGACTGAACAACAACAAAACCATGGTCATGCCTAAACAAACACAGAACTGATAAATAAGAGATTTCACCATGTTCAGAAATCTGAGAGTGAATGTGTGTGAGTTAGCTCAAAGACAAGAAAGGTTCAACTTTGGTTCCTCTGGGTGATCTTATGTTGAATTAAAGACAGAGCTTCCTCCTCCTTCAAAATAAAACACAGACTTCTCCTAAAGTAAAGACAGAGTCAGCAGCTTCCTCCTTCAAAATAAAACACAGACTTCTCCTAAAGTAAAGACAGAGTCAGCAGCTTCCTCCTTCAAAATAAAACACAGACTTCTCCGAAAGTAAAGACTGAGTCAGCAGCTTCCTCCTTCAAAATAAAACACAGACTTCTCCTAAAGTAAAGACAGAGTCAGCAGCTTATTCCTTCAAAATAAAACACAGACTTCTCCTAAAGTAAAGACAGAGTCAGCAGCTTCCTCCTTCAAAATAAAATAAAGATTTATTCTAAAGTGAAGCTGCTCCATCGTCCCTTCTGGGCCTCCGTACATGTGTGCTGGTGACTGTGTCTGCAGAGACTCTGTCCTCTGACTGGATTTTACTGTTCTGCTTTGTGACGGTTGACTCGAGACGTTTCTGGGCAGAGCTGGCGTGTTGCCTCCAGCCAATGAGAGCGCAGCAGGTGAGTTTAGGAGTGGATACACTTCAGAACCTTCAGTGCCTCACATGTGACTGTGATGCTGTTTGTCTCTTTAAGACATTGTTTACAAACGCTCTGTGGGTGGAAGTCATACCTGGGGTAAGGCCCAAACAGCTGGGTTCTAGTCCCGCAGCGAAGAGTGAAGTAAACAACAACAGAAGTGTTAGAGCAGGAAAACTGAGAGTTAAGTTTTGTTATCAGAGAAAGAG